ATTTATATTCCTTCATTCCTCCCTCTCTACTTTTGTAGGTTTGTGTAGCACCTAGCTGGCTATATTCCATTCCCTCTTTTCTTAGAAGTTACAATATTTCAGTGTTTTAATATAGTTCCAAGTCATCTCAGGGGCACTTAGGATGCACGCTGTGGAGCAAAGGAAATAATGCTCAATTTAGCTAAGAGGCAGGACTTTCCAATTCCCACATGGTGACCATTGAAGATTTAATATTGGTTATATTCTTTGTGACTTAATGACATTTCAATGTTGATTTATACTAATAATTTTGGTAAAAGCCTGTCAGCATTACGGACAACTCCATGTGCAGGTACATTATCTCATTAAAGAGATTATAAAATATAAATGACATGGATGTCTTCCTATCAAATTGAGCTTGGTGTAACAAAAGCTGAGCTCCTTACCTTTTAATCAAATGCTTCCTTATTGCCCCTTTTTTCTGACTTTAACTCCAGTATCCTATCTTTTTCTCTCTACTTGAGGGTCATCCTTAGTAATTCCTCCTCTTCATGTATCAAGGCCTTCTCTAAAAACTGCTTTGTTGGTTTTGACCCCCAAAACACCCAGTGCCTTACTTTGTCATGACCAACAGTTTAATGACATAGCTGCACATCTAGTGCACAGGGTCAGCAGCTATTTCTGGTTGCCACTGCAATCACGCAGCTGCCAGCAGACTTTTAATTGCCCGTTCCTCCTCCCCTAGCCACCCAGGTCAGCGCCCGTGGCAGTGTACCCCAGGCACCACCCTTGCTACTGTACTGGTCAAGAGAGCAAAATGTTTTGTTCATCATCTGACCTTGTGAAGCTTTCCTTTCCTCTCTTTTGATACCCATGTTACCCTCTAACCAAGGTTCACTTTTTAAAATTTTCCATATTAGCAGAGGCAAATAAGTTAGCAAATAGTAATTCATGCTTACAAAAAACAAAGCCAAAATGTCCAGGTGTTTTGTGCGTATGGGGTTTTCAGGATATTTTTCCCGTTCCTATCCATTAGTTTACAATCTCTTCAGGGGAGGGAATGTGTTCATTTTTTGATTTGTATAGCACTAAGAGTG